TGCTGTAAGGATTAACACAGTCATTTATCTCTACTTCCCCATTTGTGTGATAATGTGGGGTTTTGTGAAACTCTACATTGCTACTTAAAAGGTTATGCTTAGCACCAAAAATGACTATAGCCTATTACTGTGCTTCCTTAAGACTTTACATTTTAACAGTTCACACATGTTTTTCAATGACACACACGTTAAAAGGACTTGACACAAATGTAATATGATGAAATGACCAAAAGCAAAAGCATGTTCATTAAACCATATGAATGAAATGTGGGGGAAACGGGTTGACAGCAGTTTCATTAGTGAAAACAAATCAGCAAGAAAGTGCATTAGTATTCTACCCTGATGAAACACTCTTGGGTTTTGTGTGTAATCTCACCGAATGTTTTACTGCCTATAAATCCATATATCACTGTATATAATGCAAAATAATGAAATATACAGACACATTTCACTTATAATCATGATTGCATAGGGGAGTTTGAGCTTCATGTTGATCTGTCTGCCTTTGTTCAGCTTTGCCTAATCGGTTCTTCTTTATGCAAAAGCCTCCAATCAAACAAAGAGTGACATCTCTTAATGCACTTAATGACATTTAAAGGTAGCGTTGTACATGTGCTTATTTTTATCTGTTAAAAGTCCTCTTCACATCAAGAAAGCCATCAATGAATCTTGAAAAAAAGATTAAAAAATCCTATCTGTGTTTGTGGCCCTCGCAGGACTGTCTAAAACTGGACCAGTCGTTTCATTCGGCCTGAATTAAATGATTGGCTGGTGTTCCTGTCTGTCGCTAACCGACCTCTGTGCATGCGTGCTCCCTGTAAACATGCCAGAGAGACATTCAAAGCTGAAACAGACATGAAAGTCAGAAGTTAACGAGTGGGTCACGAAAAGTCTGCTTCTGGCAGTCGCCCGTGCAAGTTCATGTGTTCATAACGTTGATGAGGGGGTGGGATGTATCGGTTGCATTTTTTTTTAAAGTTTAGCCTGATCCTGCTAACTTTTCCAGGACTGCCAACCCTAGCTGTAAGCCCAAAAATAATTAGTTCAATTTCTGCATGTTGCTGATGTGTTAAGCGCCGATGTCAATTAAAAAACAGAACAGTTTTATCTGAACGCAGTATGGCACAGGTGGACAGGAATATTATTTTAAGTGGAAACCTGCAGACTCAGATGCAGGGTGTCTGAGGCGCTTGTAAACAGTTTAACCTGAATAGCACCTTAATTGGAGTGTGGCCCAATGCCAGGCTACACTTTGCATGCAAATGTGGCTTGTACACAGCTGCTTCGGATAGATAATCCCACTGAATCCTCATCGAACTTGAGAGCTCATTCATCTTGTTTGCTGGTGACCTTACATTTCTTCCCGAGACAGGCAGAAGGGAGCGTTTAAGAGCGTTTCCATCCACTCATGTGGTCCTGCATGCGTCATGAATGAGAGTTGTGAGCGTCAGATGGTTGCAAAGTAGTAGTAATTGTTTTAAGGTCAAAATAACAACAGAGAAAGTCAAAACAAAGAACATTTAACGTGCTCTGAGTCGTGGGCAGATAAAGAGAATAATAATAATCACAATCCTGCCTGGTACAGACAGTTCCCGGCAGCTGGAAAGTTGTGAACCTCACTGTGTGAGCTGCTGCAAGGTCCAGTGTGTAAGATTTAGGTGAAAGGGATCTACTGGCAGAAATTGAATGTAGAATAATCCTCATGATGTTTTCACTAGTTTGTTTCATCTAAATTTTATGAATTGTAGTTTTCTTTACCCCAGAAAAGGCCCTTTATATTTAAATACTTTATATTTACATCGAGGGGGTCCTCTCTACGGAGGCCGCCATGTTTTTTACATTAGTCCAGACTGGACAAACTAAACACCTTTTAAGTTTTTATGACAACTGAAGCTACCACAGGTTCTTTTTCATGTTTGGAAGGAGAGGGTGAGGTGAGGGGTGTTCAGCTGCAACATGCAATTTCAACGCTAGATGACTTAATTCTACACACTGTACCTTTAAATAATCACAATCACATTTAAAAGGAAGCACAGCAACAGGGCAAATCTTTCCTTCGACATGTCACTGTGATGTTACCCCTCCGATCATAGTTTCGTCTCAAGCTAATTTGAGACAATATTAAACTGATGCTTTGGTAGATCAAAGCAAGCGCTCCCTGTTCACTGGCTGCTGCAGGCGAGAGCGTTTCCCTTCACAGGCTCCAGCATCATTTTCATTAAGGGGACAGTTCCGTTTTATGGGATTGTCCGCTATGTTGGCGTCGCTGTTATTATTACCTCACTGTTTAGGCTACTTTGATCTCATGAAAGCATCCCACACAAGACGTTTGATTGTGATGTAAAAACTGGAACACTTAAACTGAGCTGTATTTCATGAGACACCATGTGGGACACAAAATCATGATTTACATTGTTTGATAGATACTAGAGATTTAAGAGTTGAGAGTTTGAATCCTGTTAAACTTACTGTAGGAACAAAAACATTCAGTCCACAACATTAAGGTATGGTGGGCTCAACCTTCTCCTCCCCCATCTTCTGTTTAAATTAAATTCTAGACCAGGAGTATTTATTTTAATGTGCAGTACCCTCTCCACTCTCACTCATTCTCTCATTGTTACTTTATATAGGCTTTAATTTATTCTGTTCTGAGTGTTTCTTTTATGTTATTTGGCTTTTTAAAATATTGGTTATTTTCCTCCATTCCTGTAAAATGGCTTATGAATCAAAGTAGACACATTAATTCCACTCTGCTCTTTCTTCTGAAATGCATGAACACGGGAGCTTTTAAAGCCATATTAACTGTTTTTTGGTTATTTTTGTGTTATTTTCCTCACAGTCTTGCTCCAAATGTAAGTTTTACCTCAACACGTGAATTCAGAGGACTGGATTGAAAGTTGTTGTCTCTCTTCACTTGATTGACAGGACTTTTATACAGCAGCAGGTTTTTAACAACTAAAATCATTGTTTTCTTTTCTTTTGTTCACATCGTTTGTTTGCGGCTGCTGTAACGCCTTCAGTTTTACTTATATTGTTGACAACAACACGTCAACAAGATTTTCCATCAAAACAAACTTCTGTGAACTGAGCTCAAAGATGGATGTTATGACAACTCCCCAATCAACTTGATCGCTTGCTACAGTACAAGGTCATAAACTCCACCTTCTCAATGGAAGGAACATGGATAAAACTAAAAAGTCCCAAGTATGTGTCAAAAAATGTGTTTCCTGTCATTGTAGGTTTGTAGGTTTTGATCAGTTATTTGATGCTGTACAGACAAGGTGAAACTACATGATAAACTATTACTACTGAGCAGACACTGGATAGAACTGATGTCAACAGAACAAGATGGCGGCACCAGTACGCAGGGATGTTTTGGCTTCATTTTAGTATGTTGGGAGGAAGTGAAAATGAGTGTTCTTTATATACCAAAATATGACCAAAATATTTTTTAGCTCAAACATTTTGTTTCACGGTGCAAACTTTTATGCTTAGAAGTCAGACACTTCACATGCTGAAGGATTATGACAACGTTCCAAGATTAGCAAAGCTTTGAATGTGTTTTCAGTGTAGCTGACATCAGAGGTCACGGCATACATACTGTGCATGATAATCCTTTTCCGCCCTTCTCACCCAAGTGTAGTGAGAAAGAAAAAAGTGTCTTTAATGTTCAATTGTGAGCAGCTGAAACAGATTTCTTACTAATTTCTGTACTACAAAGCCCATAATCTTTCCAATTCAAAAGCAATAATGAAAAGCCATAAAATTATTCTTCAAAGCAATAAAGCGTTCTTCCCACTCTTTTTAAGGTTGTAAAGAGCAGAATGAGCCCCTGTGATGCCCTGCAGTGAATTACTGCATACACACATTCACACATGAATGAATACACATACACAAACCCCAAAATTCACACATACACACTTCAGAGGACTGCCAACTGTGAAATTACCCAATCAGAGGTTCTTGTCGCTTCTCAGACATTAGTTATCACACATAAGCCAGCTGAGGTGACACAGCACAGACACACACACACACACACACACACACACACACACAGTTAAGACAGAGTTTGAAAATTTCATGAAGCTCCATTAAAGTTAATGACACACCAAGTCCAAAATAATGTGTTGGAATAAAGAGCACAAATGTGTGTGTGTGTGTGTGTGTGTGTGTGTGTGTGTGTGTGTGTGAGAGAGTAAGTTGTCAGCTCAAAGGTGTCAGGATGTGAATATCACAGCCAGACAGTTTATTCTCCACATTTCATTCTCCTGTGAAATATATATGTATTGAATGATAATGAGAAGCCACATTAAGAACACGCTTTTAAAACTCTATAAAACAAACTGTGATTCTCACTTGAAGTCACTTTGACCCTCAGTTTCTTCTCAATCACAAGCTGCAAACACCGACTTTACACCTACCTACGGTTTGATCACACATGCAAGACAAAGAGAGACACATAAAAATAGAAAAAAACGTGTCCAACATGTAACTACACAGGGAGCAATAAAGCCGTTGATGTTTGTGCATGTAAAGTCAAGAAGGAAAGTATAAAATGCTGAGCTTTTCATATAACAAAGACTTCACTAGTGGAACAACCAGTGTGTTGGGTGGATTAGTCCCTTTAGACCACTTTTATTGTGCCTTAACCATGATTCAGCACATTCACAGAGACACTTGTTAAAGTTTTACACTGAGGAGATTTTTCTCACTCAACATTGCTGTAAATAAAGGCAACCCCAACAAACTTCTCAAGTTTGAATTAACTTTTGAATGGATGAATGACAGAGGGTAGAGAGAAATAGACATTTACCTAGAATGAAGGAATAAAATACAAAATGCAGTGATGCCAACGATGCATCCACTACCGTCTTTTCTTTCAGTTTACAGTGGTTTTGTGAGATTAAAAGACAAAATGAATTCTAAATTAGATCTTGCATAACCCGAGACATCTCTGAATATTGCTAACTGTGGGTAAATGTCTTTTTCTTTTCTTTCAGGTGAAGTTTGGGCGGTTTGGCTTCGTGTGGGACGCAGCCGTGCTGGAGTACGTCGCTAATAATGATGAGGATTGCTCCTTCTATACTGTCAGCAGCCGCGCACCAGACCGTGGATATGGTATCGCCATGCAACACGGCAGCCCCTACCGGGACATTTTCTCCCAGAGGTACGAGTAGTAACAGTAAACAACAGTCAGCGGCATCCTTGACTGCATTTTACTTGTAATGTAACGCACGTTTCTCATGCACGATGATGGAGCTGTCACTTTTGTTCCACGCTGTTTATCTCAGTCATATTGTCCTCAGTTTTAGGTTGTGAAATGTTCTCTTCTTTTATTGCAGAGTCGTGAAAAATTGCATTCATGTATACACAACTTCTCGAGAGGTCGTGCAAGTTTTTTTATTTTTTTTTATGACTTCTTCAAATTTATTTCAGCCAAATAAAAATGGCCAATCCCGTAAAGTTTGCCCGTCTGCGCTGCTGGAAGAATCCGCTCTCCAGGTCAGACACCGAGTAAATTGTAGATTAAATTGTACATCTATCCTCCAGAGGAAAGAGGCGAGTGGCACTTTCACAACTTGGGTGCAGCGAGGTTGCTTTAACCGCAACATGAACCACTGGTTCACGTTGAGGTTAAGCAAGTGTGACAACTCAGTCTCACATATAAGAAGAGTTGACAGTGTAGACGCGCCCACAGTGATCCCAGCTGTTTATCTTGTTGCTGTAGCACAGAGTTGAGGTTATGTTGGTTCAAAGTAGCTCATGGGACAAGACAGTAACTGAATGTAATAATTCATTCATCTCCCATCCATATGGTCATGTGTTGCTATAGGAAGCTCATTAACATGTGCAGACTCCACACAGAGGTCATTAATCATCTTCTCAGCAGCTGAACTGTCAGTGCAGTGTTTTCTATGAGTGTACATGTTTGTTAGTTTGTTTGCATTCATTTTTAATGCCCCACTGTGATGTAAACCACATCACTAGATTGCGGGCTCAGTCACATGAGCTGAAGCGTGTCTGTGAAGGCCACATAAGGATTGCCTGCAGCCCTACAGAGAATCACGTTGGGTTCATTCGTGACCAAGCATGAGATCATTCCAAGAAGAGGGAAAACAAAAACGTCTCCTTCCTTCATTTAGCTGCACTAATTTATATCATGTTAAATAGTTTGTGTCGCAAAAGATGGAAATGTATTTGATGTGCACAGACCAAACTGCATGAGCTTTACTTAGTGTGTGAGTGACTAGGGGTTTTTATATATTTGGTGATGCATTTCGCTCCAGAATATTACCCCTATCATGGCTGTTATTAAAATAAACAAGCAATTAATTGACAGGCCATGTTTCCAATTCCCTGCTATTATTTCAGTTTGACAGTTTGAAATACTTTACTCACACTCGTCCCTCCTGGTTCAGACAGTGATACAATTATCAGGAGGAAAGATAATCACAGAGTTATAATTGTTTTGTTTGCTTTGATTTTAATATTTTTCATCCTGTAATTCTGTATTATACAGATTAATAAAGCAATGAAGCAGCAAGTGGAGGATGAGCAGGAATTATATTAGCAGTCCGTGCCTTGACATTATGGAAAGAAATGTTTTGTTCTGCTTGATTATCTTTGGTGGGCTGGTCATAACAGCTCCTGCAACTTTGTTCAACCAACCACCACTGCATCTGAGCAGAACATAATAGACTTTAATGATATTGCAGATTAAATGTGCAAAGATTTTCTTGATTCCAACTCCACTAGTCTTGCTTATACAGATCTGTGGTAGAGAGAAATTGTGAGGCAAACACATTTTTACTTTAGTAATAGCAAAACAAAGTTGAGGCTATTAAATTATCCAGGATCCAGAAATAAGTCCAGAAAGCTGTGACAGCATCTTTCAAGAATACTGAGGGGAAATCTTGTGGAACTTGTGCACAAGCCTGAGCGTTATGATGTATACAGATGACACAGTAAGTTCATAAATAAGTTGAGGATCATTTTGTTCTCATCAGTGCTGTATTACTGTATTGTATGAAGCTCATCCAGTAAAAGGGGATTACTGGGGGCAAAGCTGGACAAAAACCACTGGAGCCTTTTGGATGAATTATATAAGCAGCCATCCTCTGCATTGTTTGTTAAAATCTCTCTAAGGCTTTTGATGGGATTTCCATAGGTTTGGATAATCCTGGTTACAGCAGGTTTTCACATCTTCGTGGCAGATGTCATTTTCAAATTGAGCTTTGTTTAGCATTTAGAAAGGAGTCCCTCAAGGATCGATATTAAGTCCTCATCTGTCTCTCTGCCTTCATAGTAATTATTTTCCAACTTGACGACGCCTTCTTATATGTGACTGACTCCACCATACACCTCGTCTCAACTACAGCAAAACATGGATCTGACGAGAGCTCAAAATGGTTGATGCACCCACTTCAATACTTGCTCTCAGTGTTATTCTAGTTGATATGCTACAGCTTTGCAAAAGTATAGGAGTTTGGTTTCATATCAAATTGTGAATTGAGCTACTTTGAAATGGTCATGACACTTGTCATTGTTCATAAACTAGAGTTCATTTTCTCTTTTAATAACCAGACAAAAAGGTTGACTCACCAATGTCTTTGGTTCGATATTTGATTGTATTTATTTATGCTCATCTTGAGATTGCTTCTGTATCCATAATATCTTAGGTCCCTTTGACAACCGAGATCTTGATCTCAATTTAATGTGATCGGTAAATAGAATTTTATAACGAGAAAAGAGAAAGTAAACACAACATATAAGATCACATCAGTGATAAAGATCCACATAGACAATGATTGTGTGGTGTAATTGAAGATGGAATCTTACTAGTGTTTACTACATATTTGTGTATGTGTGTTCCACATATTGGAGACGTATTTACTATCTGCAGGTCCCTGGTGGTAAAAAAGAAGATGAAAAGGAATTTATTTGCTTTGACACTTTGCCAAGAAAGTCAGTATCTGTAGAAAATACACTGACTGCTACAACTTCATTGTTTTCAACCACTTTGTTTTGTGAGGAATGCTTTGCCCGAGTTCAAGTGCGGCACCACTTCCTGCCCGTGTTGCTGTCTGCGTGTGGGAGTGTGTAGATCTGTGTGTATTTGTTGGTACTGCAGAGCAAATTATCTGCGACTGTGCACATGCTCGTAGGTGCTGCCATTCTGTGATTGATGGAGACAGTGTGCAGATTTACCAGAGTCCAAAAAAAAAAACCCACAGTGGTCTAAAGGATTAGTCCACTAATTTAAAGTGACAGCTATTG